TTGATTAAACCCTAATAAATAAGAAAATAATAAAAAAAATTAGTATATAAATACAAAATGATTATTTTAGTTTAATAATGTCTATTTTATAATTATAATCTCAAAAAAGAATGAATAAAAAAGTATTTTATAGTAGGAAGTAGAAAACTGTTAGGCGATTAGGCGAGGCGAGCCTCAAAGGGTGCCTTGTCGCCTAGGCGTCGCCTTGACAACTATGGTCCTAGGTGCACCCCTTTCAAAAGGCGCACACCTGGTGCGTCGGATGCACCTTGCGCCTCAACCTAGGCATTTAAAATTCTGAGTTTTTTGCTTTTTTTTTAGCCTAATGGTTGGGCCGGTTGCTCTGCCCCCAGACCCCTGACCATGCCCCTCGAGGCAAGCCCAAACAAGTCCATGTTAGGGTCTTAAATTCTTATTTCTCATAGAAAAAATAATGATTTTATACAATATCTTTTTTTTTTTGATAAATGTTTTTATACAATATCTTATTAAAAGGCAATTAAAGTTATAAAATCATTATTTTTTATGTGAAAAATAAGAATTTAAGACCCTAATATGGACTTGTTCAGGCTTGCCTTGAGGGGCATGGTACAAAGGTGACTCGTAGAATCAAGAATGCAATATGTTTTACATTCCATTAGCTACTTGAAGTAATACAATTGAGGAAAAAAAGAGATTGTCAGTTTTACATGCTTGAAAATGCTTTATATGTTTGCTTTTATTTTTAAAATTTCATTTGAATACGCTTTACATGTAATGTTTATGTATTTTAATTTTAGATAATAGGTTTTTAAAACATTTATTTTAAAATTTAAGTTTATATTTTTATTAATATTTTTTGCATTTTTTTATTTTTTTTTGCATTTTTTTTTAATTTTTAGCATTTTTTTGTATTTTTGTGCCTTGCCTCAAAAAGGCGCACGCCTTGCCTTCCACCTTGTGCCTCAGGCGCTTTTTTGTGCCTTGCACTTTTAAAACACTGGGTGGGTTTGGAGTCTCATATGATAGGTGAATACCACATGGATTAGAAGGGAAATTCTATAAAACAGTTGTAAGGCCAACAATGTTGTATGGAGTGTTGGGCAATCAAGAAGCTATGTGTCCAAAAAATGAGTGTGGCAGATATGCATATGTTGAGATGGGTGAGTGGAAAAACTAGAAAAAATAGGGTCAGAAATGAAGTCATTCGAAGGAAACTAGGAGTAGCTCCAATAGTGATAAAATGAAAGGAAGTAGTAGACTTAGATGGCTTGATTACATTCATAGAAGACCACATACAGCACATGTAAGAAAAAGAGATCAATTACAAGTTGAAGGGGCTAGAAGGGCTAGGGAACAAACCAAAAAGGACATGGTTTGGAGTAGGAAAAGATTTAAGCTCTCAAAATTTATCAATGGATGTGGCATGGATATTTCACTAAACAGAATGGAATGGCAAAAGAGGATCATGTAGCCAACCCTATATAGTTGGGATAAGACCTAGATGATGATGATGAGCCATCTAAGCTTCTTTGTTTCATTTCTATAGGACCATGGAGCTGCTTCCCTTATCAGCAACCAACCTATCACCATCTTTGAACATGTATAGTGGTGTATTTCCTTTTTCTTTCACTTTATTCTTGTTGCAGTTTTGGCTCTATGGTTTTGGGTTTGAGATCCATGTGGGGTTTGTTTGGAGTCTGGGGTAAGGTTTCCATTGGGGAAGATTAGAGTCCATTCAGGATTTATGTTGGCTATTATGGTATTAAGCTTGAGATTTGCTTCTTCAATAGTTTCTTTCCTATTGCATAGGTTGGGTGATTGTTGTAATCTCTTTGATTTTAGTGGAATACTTTGTGATCTTTGGTTGTGGGAATGGGCATTATGCTGTGCAAGTAAGTCTTGTATTTGTGTCTGCCCTGGCTTTCATGGGCAATTTTCCAACTGTGGAAGAGGTTTTTCTAAGAGAATGTAGTTAAAGAATTGTTGGGTCATCTTTTGTTTAGTACTTTTTTTGTGGTGATCAGTCTTGCATTTGCATTCATTGTTTGTAATTTTTCCCCCGTTAAATGTCCTTGCATCAATATTCAATAAGTGCACATAAATCTGAAACCAAAATATGTCATTTTTATGTTTTAAATGCTGACAATTCATTTACAAAGCCTTGTTATTGAATATTAGAATTGTGAAAGATGTGAATTTTGCTCAGGTTTCAGAAGCCTCAGTTAGTAGAAATCGTAGTACAATTATTGTTCCTTCTGGAAGTGCCCGTGATGAAGGATGGGCTGCATTTAGGAACATCTTAGCAGAGATTAATGAAGCTTCAAGGCTTTTTATCTTACCCAATCAGGTCTGAATGTCTGGTTATGGATTAATCTATGCAGTGGCTTTTCTTTCTTAATTTATAGGAGGCTCATGTTTTCCCATGCCTGTTTCGAAACAGCAAAGTTCTGAACCTTCAGAACGCCTTGTGGGCCTCTCAGATGATGTAGGTGCAGGCTTCATTTCTGGTCACAGTACCCAATCTGCCCCACCACCAGATCTGAATGAAAGGTCAGTTGATTTGCCTCCACAGGATGAAATTGGTAACTTGGGGGTTTCCAAGGTGATACGGGCTGATCAAAAGAGGTTCTTCTTTGATCTTGGGAGCAACAATAGGGGTCACTTCTTGAGGATATCCGAGGTATCTAGGAGAATGTGACTTTTTGCCTCTGTCAGATTTATTTGGTAAATTGAGCTTTGATTGTTTCAAATAACGATTACAGGTGGCAGGGGCAGATCGATCTTCCATTATTCTTCCCCTATCTGGGCTGAAGCAGTTTCATGAAATGGTTGGCCATTTTGTGGAAATCACCAAAGATCGGATTGAAGGTATGATAGGGGCAAATGTTCGTACGGTGGAGCCCCCACAGAGATGAATCTGACGAGTTAGGTTTGGTTAAAGTTGCAAATATGACATGTTTATTAGATCTATCGATGTCAGCTTGGTTAGGGGTGCAATTGTGCTCTATTGTTCATCTGTTCTTCACTTGTCTCCCCCTTTCATTCAAGTGCGGTTGAGAATAATCTAATCTCTCTGTCACATAGGAGAAATTGAAGTTATTCGTCAAGCTTCCCACCAAGGAATAACAAAAAACAGATTTGCAATCCTGTAATTCTTGCATCTGTTAGCATTGAAGAGTGGCACTTGCATCTGGACATTTTTTTTAATCAGAGTAACATTTCCAATAATCGGAATGTAATGTTTTTGATTATTTTCCCATTTCCCATCAAATTTAGTAGGGAGCATCTCATTGTCTATCAATTGTGGCTGAAACCACAGGTATGCCCATGAGCTTTTTAATCAGGTTGTGGTTCCTACGCATCAGCTTGACAAGGGATTCTCCTAAGCCGGAGTGGAGAAAGGGCTCCACTCGTTCGTAGCTGCTTGTCTGGTGTTAAACCAATTATCCATCCATGCAGTCACAATCTTATTTTTTGTGTATTTTCATAGATAAATTCAAAGGGTAAAACTTTAAAAACCGAAAGTCTGAAGAGTTTGCTGATTTTATTTTATTTTTGCCGTATTAACACATTACAGGGGGACTTAATGGGGAATCCGGCCCACTGGCCCACACCAACCCCACTGCACATTGCAGTTTGCAGGTTTCAACCCGGTAAAACAATGTGATATTGTTTCTTTTTTTAGTGACTGTCTTACAGTGATTCTTGCTTTATAGTCCAAATATGTTGGTGATTGCTCGTAGTTGATTTATCCATGGATTAGTGATGCAAGCTGAAGCTGTCATTGTTTGCAAACTTTTACCATTCACTACATTTGACGTTCAGCTAACATCATTTCTCATAGTCATACTCACAGATAGCTCATATTTCTTCCTGGTCGAAGTGTATGGCTGTTTGTTCCTCGTATTCAGGATCTTGTTTAAATAAATCTGGCACCTTTTAGGTTGCATCATATCAGGTTCAACCCTATATTGTGTCTTGCTAACTTGGGGTAGTGTGGGTTCAGGTGGAGGCAGTGAAGGGTTGGGTCGGGGTAGGTAGAGGCAAGCCCACACTGGATCCCTAATTATGAATGAGACTCGGGGTCCATTTGGTTTGCAGTTGGAATCAGAATCAGAATTGGAATCAAAATCAGAATGGTCTATTCCCCCCACTTGTTTTGTTTCAGAATCAAAATTGGAACCAGAATTGGCTGGAGTGGATTCTCATTCTCGAGGGGGAGGGAATGGGCATTCCCTTAAATGGGGAAATGCCATTCCAGCAGCAATGAGAATCAGATTCTAATTCCCCCAACCAAACAGTTTCTGATTTCAATTCTAGATTCCTATTTCTGCAAACCAAATGGCCCCAGTTACATACAGGAGCTGAACTCACTACAAAAAGATCAAGATAACTACTTGCTGCGGCATAGTTCAAGCATTCAATGATGTACTAGTCAACATGCTTTTCATACAGGCATTCTGGAGTATAGCTCACCTACCTAGACTGTTTTATAGGTATCCCATCTATCTAAACTGCATACAACTGGGCATTTGAACCTTATTGATACGCTAATCACATAATCCATGTTTGAGGACTAGAAGATCGTCCTCCACCTATAGGACCGCGTCATGTCCGACTAACTCTTCCATCATCCTTTTACATGTTCCAAGTGTATTGGGATAGATATTCTACCTGGAAGGAGAGTATGCCAAGCAACAGATGAACAGACTTCATAGCTCCATGTAGGGTAACTAGTGCCCCAAGCAGCACTACTTTCAGGTATTATAAGAAAATAACAAATATAACAATGCTTGTATTACCTGACAAGAGCAGAGCCAAGAATGTAAGTTAAGCTCCTTGATATTATGGTTGGGATGAAACTCATCTATATCCAACTTCATTGGAACATCTAAATTTTAACAGCAAGGTTCATAAACAGTCAAGATCGTCCATTAACATTTGATAAAGCTCAATGGTACTTTTATTCCACCTCATGCAGAATTCTGTTTCACATTTAACAATATTGTTTCCTTCATTGCTGATGTATCCTTCCTCTCCTTGAAGCTTCGCCGGAAGTGACCCAAATGCCTTTGTACTAAGGATGGAAGTCCATTACCTGGTCCAGAGTCTGCCAATATCATGGTTTTAATTCCCCATTCAGATCTCCATGTGGCGGATAACCCATAGTGACAAGATAGTAGGCTGTGATACCTAGATCACTTAATAATTTAGTTCCCAATTTGACAACTGACATCATTGCCAGAGAACCTATTTCCAAGAACCGAAGGCTGTATCATTTTGGAGCAGGCACTGGAGTTAATATTGTTGTTTCATCTAGTCTGAGAGCACACTACTTTGATTAATTGAAACAAATGGGCTTTAGGTATATAAGATCCATTCAACTGTTCACTCATAAGTATTAATCATCAAACATATATCCCATGTAAAATTTTCTGGTGAACCCATGAGATGCCTACCGATGTCTCTTGCATATATCTAATGTAGATTATGAATCTACGTTCTTATTAAATTGGCCATTGTCCAAGAAATATTCAAGCCATAAACCTTGGCCAAGGACTTCTACCTGCAGCGGCATAAATAAGCCAATTACCAATAATCTCCACAGGAACAAACTCCTTCCTTGAAATGGTGAAATCGATTAGCATCTCGAACAATAATCTCTCGTTGAACAATTGCTGATACCAACTTACTAAATGTGTGGCAGTCACCACAGACCCTAAGGTTCTTTATTAGCCTGATTGGCATTCTCTCAGGTATGCTGATTAGACCAAATGCAATTGCCAACTTTTCACTATGGGTATTTAGGATCCCTATCTTAAGTTCCTCATCCACATCATGCAATACAAAATTTGTATTAGGGACATAACCAGCCAGCTCCAGCTTCTTAGTCAAGCTCTTCAACATCTCATAGATCTTATCTGACTGTGGATGAGTCTTGTCTCCTGTGCTAAACTGGTACCTCTTGTTACCCACCTCAATCCATGTCCAACCTGGAATTTTCTTCAGCCTCCTATGGGTCATCAATTCTCTCACCTTGGCAACATCTTCCCACCTTCCTGCATTTGCATAAATGTTTGATAGCAGAACATAATAACCAGGATTTCTGGACTGAAATTCAAGAAGGGACTTTGCAGCCTTCCCTGCCAATTCAATATTTCCATGGATTCTGCAAGCCCCTAATATTGCACCCCACAGGCCCTCATCTTTTTCCACAGTCATATTCTTGATCAGTTCCAAGGCTTCATCAAGCCTCCCTGCACGGCCAAGGAGATCAACCATGCAAGTATAGTGTTTCACATCAGGTTTCACAGAATAATCTTCCCACATTGAGTAGAAGAACCGGAGACCCTCATCAACCAATCCTGCGTGACTACATGCATACAAAAGGGAAACAAATGTGATCCGATTTGGTGATATTCCGCTACGCAACATCATGGGGAACATATCAAGAGCTTTCTTACCTTGTCCGTGATAACCATAAGCTGCAATCATTGCACTCCAGGAAACGACATTCTTTTCCTTCATGTGATCAAATATGTTTCTCGCGGCATTGACACTCCCACACTTGGCATACATATCAATCATTGCGGTTCCCAAGATCACATCCAAGGAAAACTTATTCCTTGATATATAATCATGGACAAGCTCAGCCTTATGCATTGCACCTAATTTAGCACATGCAAAGACAACGGTGACCATTGTGACCTTGTCTGGGATAATGCCTTCCTCTCTCATTCGATCAAACAAAACCAAGGATTCTTCAGCATTCCCACAATTGGCATGTGCGTCGATCATGACAGTCCAAGTAACGAGGTCTTTCTTGGGAATTCTATCGAACAGGAGTCGAGCATCTTCAATCACCCCACATTTTGCATACATATCGACAAGAGCAGCGGAGACAAAAGGATCCGAATGTAACCCGGATTTATAAACTAGGTGATGAATCATTCTGCCGGTTTGAAGGTCTGAAGTATCCCTACAAGCCCTTACTGCAAAGGGCAAACTGAAATTATCGGGCAGTATACCGGAGCGGATAATCTCTCTAAAAGTCCCAAGACAATTAGGGTAAAGGCCAGCTTTAGCGAACCCGCCAACCATGACGCTCCAGGAGACTAAATCCCGCTCTTGCATGGCGTCAAAAAAAGTGGAAGCGTCCTCTAGGGCCTTAAACCGAGCGTACATGTAGAGAAGCTTGTTTGCGACAGTAAGGTTGTGAAGCATTCCCGTGATGGTTGCGTGGGCATGAATCTTCTTAATTTGGATGAGATTTCTACAATCCAGTAGAGAAGAGACGTATAATTTCGGGTCCAAGCAGAGCAAAATATGGGGTTGCAGCATTTGGTCCATCTGGTTATGGCGATCATTGCAGATTTGTTGTTGTTGTGTGGAAAATTCATCGAAAACAGCAGCTGAAGAAGCAGAGAAGGCGAGGCGTAGTCGTTCATGTTTGGAGTGGGAGAAGAAGCTCAGATGTTTGAATTTGAACATGGAATGCTAACGTCCAGTTATCTTCTAGGAAGAAAATATCATAACTACCCGTGAATCTGAAGTCAAGAAACTATAGATTAGAAGTAAAAAAGTAGGTCCCACCAAATCCGATCTCGTGCGGAATGGTGCAAAAAGGAATTGGGATTTGCAGCTTACTGATCGGGCTTCACAGCTACATCCCTCCGTGTATTGGGATATACCTGTTCATGAGTCGGGTAACCCGACGGGCGGGGATAGACCTGTTTATGAGTTGGATAACCCGATGGGCCGGCCTGGACTAGCCTGGCCTGTTCTAAGTTGAGTTTAAGTATGACTTTAGACTTACGGGCTTGAGCTCAGGCCCAAAACATCAGGCTTGATTTTTATGGGTTAGGCTTGCGCTTTCTCATAAAAGCCCAGTCCGAGCTTGAGCCTAATTTAATAATATATTATATAATAAAAAATATATATAATGTTTTTTCTTTGTTCCTTTTCTCTTTTTTTTAAGTAAATAGTGAGACCTTTTATTAGTTTTGGCTTTGAGGTCTTTTAATATAAATAAAATAGTTTTATTGAATAAAAAAGAAAAAAACTTTTTTTTTCAAATTTTTGGACAGACTTCGGGCTTTATATGAGAAATGAGTTTGGGCTTAGGTTTGAATGTATTCTGTTAATATAAAGACAAAGCCCAATATGAACCCAGCCCGTGAACAAGTCTTTTGGGAATATCTTCCATGAATAATAAAACACAAGTATAGGAGATGTTCACGATATGTAGTTGAGACATGCTGTGAGATCAATGTGATGAATGGTTTGTGAGGAACAGATCCAAACTCTAGACAAAGGAAGGTTGGATCCCCTATCCATAGGACACTATAACAGTACATTGGGAACATCTTCCGTATTTACATGTTACCATTCTCGGGGAAATTCCCAGTGTACAGTTGTGATGTCCTATGGGTAGGATTATTATGAATAAGAGATCCGGATCAGGAAAAAGGGATCGAAACACCTGTATCAATCGTGGCTTTCAATCATAGAAGAACAATTCATGGGAGAAAAAGGATTTTCAACTCGGACAAAAATTACTTTAGACTTTAAATAATTTTAAGGGCCACTTTTGCCCTTTCATATTATTCTGGAAAGGTCACCGTAATGCAAAAATAAACGGCGTTATGTGGCATTGCTCAAATTTAAAAAGGCCACTTTAGACCCTAAAATTTGAAAATGCCACTTTAGATGTTAAAAAGTTTATTAGTCAAAAAAATAAAATTTGTTAACCTTAAAGTAAATTACTTCAAAGATTTTGTAAAATTAGAGTAACTAAATTAACAATGATTAATCTAACAATAAATAATTAACAATGATTAAGGGAAAGTTATTACTTAAATGTTAACTTAATTAGATTTTTTTTTTCAAAAACTAAATTAGCTTAACTAAAAGTAAATTAACAATCACTTAATTTACTTAAATTTAATAACTCAATTTGCATAATTAAATTAATTTCTTTAATTACTTAACTTAATCAATTAGTTAATTCACTTAATACGTGGTTTTAAAATTGTCATTGATTTGGGCGGTCAAACCATTTGACCCAAGAACTAGTCAATTGTCTGATTCCATTTTATATACTTGGCCTGGGATTTTTCAAAAAAAAGTTGACTTGGTTAGCAAAGCACTAACATGAACGGTTGAATCGCTAAACTCTTGGTGAATGGTTTTCGAGGCCTTTTTAATGATTTTTTTTTTATTATTTTTTTAAAACATCATGGGCTGATGATCGGATGATCGAATCATTAACCTGGACAATTGAACCACTAAACTCCTAGTGAATGGTTTTCAAGGCTCTTTTTAATTATTTTTTTGTATTTCTTTTAAAACATCACGGGATGATCTGTTTGGACTAGACAATAGAACCATTGACTCAAAGAGGAACATTGTGGGTAACATGCAAGCAGAAGTGAAGGAAAAGTCATGGATCCCATAATAAATATATTTGGAAAAGTACACTGCAGCCCACTGCAGAATTCTGAAATTACAACCTCCATAGTCTACTAGTACCCCCCATAAATCGCATCCTGCCCATAGATTTGGCATCAATTCACAGTGAGGATTCATCCCACCAATACGGTGGGGCTAAGAATTCTGAAGTATACTGAACAGTCATTCTCCCAAATATATTTACCCATATTCACTTTTTGAAAGTTGTGGGAATGACAATAAATAGCTTTTCCCTAAGCATTACTTATACCCATCTTTCAGGTGGGTAGGTAAGACAAAACTTATTAAAACATAAAGACAAAATTGAGTTTTAATAAAATCCTACCTTTATAGGACCTTGCAATAATTTTATTTAATGGGTAAAAATGGTCAAAAGAACACTTACCTAACGTGTTCATTGTTTTGGTAATTGTAGGTCTCATGGTACATGGTACATGTATTATATAGTTGCAAGTTTGTAAACCAAAAATAACCAAACCAGTTGTGGTATTATATATGCTTGTTAATGTCTCTATCCACTCTCTCATTCATTAATTACTTTTTTTTTAGGCTAGCACTCAAATATTATTTAATTAATGCTATTTAACAAATGCCACTTACCAATGTTGTTTAAATAAGTTTCGTCTTATTTTTTTCCTGTTATAATTGATGGAGGGTGATTTGGCCTGACCTCGTAGTACGGGTACACGTGGGCGTGACTTTGTTCAAACAATGACTCAGCGTGACAGCATAACTGATATGACAGCACAACTCGGGGAGAGAGTTCCATCGACTTGAGCTCGGCAACTGGGCAGATAAACTACTTGCCGGGAGTCGTCTTACCTGCACCTCCTCCCCAGGAGTTAAGGCACTTCGGGGTGCCCCAAGCTTGGGGCACCCTGACCTTTCTCGATACCCGAGCTCCTCCCGATGGACCTCAGGCCACTCCCCGACGGGAGCTCACTGACTCATTTCTAGACACCTCAGGGTGAAAACACTTCGGGCCAGACAGCTCGGCATTGCTTGCCACAGGTAGCTCGCCGCCTACAGGATAGCCCAACATAGGGTAACTCGCGAAAGGGTAGTTTGGCGTACCGCCGGAAGATCTCCTGCCCGACCACCGTACCCGATAAATCTGGGGACAGCGGCCATGTCCCTCGTCAGACAGCGTCGTGCCTGCCACCTTTAGAAGGTGCCTTACACCTGACAAGCACGTACCCTGCAGCGACGGCCCCGTGCGTGCCACCTTAGCCTTGTCTGTAACGGCTGCAGTAGACTGACAGTGGCGGTTATACCTGCCCTGTCAGAGGCTAGTGGGCTTGAGGCAACGGAATTCTGTTATAAGGAGCTTATTCTCAAGGAACAGGAGTATCTTCGATCACTTGCGCAATCTGCACTCTTAGCCTTCGTCTTCCCTTTGTTTCTCACACAGAATACTGACTTAATCGTCAGAGCGTTCCCGCCGGGCAAACCCCCGGGGATTCTTCTTCTTCTTCCTCGTCTCAGGTACTTCTCAGGAACCACGCGAGTGCCAGGTAGGAGTGACCGGATCGCACTACATCAATAATAATATTTATTTTTTTAGGTAAAAGCTGCATAAACGATACTTGGCTATACAAACTCTGCCTTTTTAGGTTAAGCAAACTTTTTATTGGGGCTATTGTAAGCCTAAAATGTTAAAATCTGTCAACAATCATTGGACTTAAAACCAACCAAATCGAAAAACTGACTCTCAACCTAAGTGATCAGTTTCAATGGGTCAAAACCTCAACCCAAGTGGTCAATTCAGTTCAAAGATCTGTGAGCAACCAAACCAAACCAACCCATATACAGCCCTATAATTTATATTGCTATGTGATTATTGGTCAATTTGGTTTTGATTCTTTCATTTGGTAAAGACAATGGTCTAGTGATTTTGTAATTCCTAGTGTTTAGAAAACCGGATACCCAAGACCTTAGCTGGTTTGGTCATATCCCAATAACTGCTTTAATTAAAAAAATCAGTTAATAACCAACTAACCGACTGATTTAACCAGAAAACTAATGAATCAATCACAGTTTTATGAAACCGTCTGGGTCCTTAACTAATAGAAAGTTTAAAAAGATACGAATCTATAATCTCTTATTTTCATATATTGCTTAACTATTATTAATTTATCCCTTACTTTGTGTTAATTAATGATTCTTTACTGTACATATTATTTTATTAAGCATATATTTAAAGAAAATGTAAATTAAGAGACTTGAACCCTACTCATTTATTTTAAAAATGATAAAATTGCCATCAATACGTCATATTTAAGTATATTAAAAATTGTAAAATGTATTATATATAATATTTATATGATCTCTGGTATATATATGTATATGCCACGTCAACACGATTTAACCCCAATTGATCCTCTAAACCATGAACCTCTCCCCTCTCCGATTCTCAGAACATCGATAATTCCTACTGAATGCTTGAACCTTTTTATGTTATCAAAAGAGGATGGCAATGGAAGATACGAGTGTAAGTTATCCAAAGGGGATGGCAGTGCTTGAACCTTGATTGTGTAGCCTTTATTTTTCCTCTACAAAAATATGGTATAATAATGGTCAGCCTTGCCAACGAAATGTTACCTAGCCGTGTCTTTAGTAGTAATAAAATTGCAATCATTCCATAACCCGATTTTCACTGATCATGGAAACTAACACTAGAAAAACCATAGTAGAATAGCAGCAGAATGTCATTTCCAATGAATAACCTCGGAACAATATTCTCAGTATTTACACTAATTCAACAGGAATCCAAAGATCCGCTTGGCAACCATCTACAACCTGTCCGCAGCAAGCTTATGTGTCCTACCTCTGCCTGCAAAGCAAATAGAGATCTCAGTTGATGATGTACACACGAGAATGTACTGGTTCATTTCCACAGAAGAGGTACCACCATACCAATAATTTCTATGCTACAGCTTATTCAAGAGAGCGGTTTTATAAAATTTGCTTCCACATCAAACAGTAATTGAAACTTGTGGTCGCCGTGACGTGGGTCAATCTCAATGCAGCTAAAGTTGGGAGTTCAATCCCCGCTTAGCTAAATATGGAAATAATAAAATAACAAAAAATAGAGTAACTAACCATGACAGCTGTAACAGTGAAGAGTCCATCAGCAATTAAACTGTTTAGGTTGTTTTGCCAGCTGCAGGATTACGGCCAAATTGGATGATCATAGGTTTTCTCTTGAACATATATCCATTCACTAGATTCTGCAGCCAATAGTTGTGTCAAGTCTGAGTCCACCATAATTTAAACTCATTAAAATAGTGGGGTAGGGGGAGTAAAGGATGGTTTACCAATCCGCTTACACTTGCGACCAATGTGAAAAAAAATAAAAAAAAAAACATATTTAAGGACCACTATAATTATAAACCATGAGGATTAACTGACAAAGTTAAACAGATAATTGAAATGTAAAAGCAGAAATGAAGATCTTCCAACAATATATCAGGCATGCATGGTTGCAATCAAATATTGGGTTGTTATTCATGCTGAGCTCAAGGCCTCAACTAGAGGTTTGTTATGGATCAAAAGGCTCCTTTCCCATCAAAAAAATAGTCATTGAACCAAACTCAAGGGATATTTGGATGCAAACATGTTTTTTTTTTATGATTTTCCAAGAACTAAATGTGGGAAAAATACTAATCTTCAACCTTCATCCATGAAATCTATACCAAAAAATACCAAAAATCTTGCTCTACCAGGAAATGAATTTTCTTCACCTAGTCATGGGTTCCTGTATGACTGCTGACAGCTGTATAGCCAGTTGATACGAGTAGGTCGTTTAAGCTTGAAAAGTAGCTCCAATTCTATTTACTCCTATCTTGATACCAAACTTGGTTTTTTGTTGTGCTTGAGTTGGGAAGTTAGGATTTTGAGAGAAAAGAAGAGAAGAGAAGAGGAGAGAAATGAGATAGAAGAGAATTTTTTTTTTTGATCAATAACTGGAATTCATTAGATTAAAAGAATTTAGTTACAGTGCTCTAAAGAGAGATAAACAGGCTTAACTCTCTCCGGGAAAATAACAAAAAGGAAAAGTTTACAGAACAGCCCAAAACATTTGATCCCTTCCCACCCCCTGCTTTGCCAAAGCATCAGCAAATGCATTTGCTGTTCTCTTGAACGACTAGCATATTTCCAAAGTCCACTACCTTCTTATAACCAACTTAAGACCAGCTTTAGTCCTCTTAAACGACTAACTTTTGTATATTCAGTTCCTTAGACTTCCTTATACCCTCCAGTACTGCATAGACCTCAGCTTTGAGAGAGTCTCCAAACCCAATGGAACCTGAATACAAAGCAAGCACCTTCCCACCCTCATCTCTGAAAACCCCTTCTACACCTGATGGACCTGGATTTCCTTCACTACTTCCATCGAAGTTTAGCTTTATAAGTTCACTTCCTGGTGATGACCACACAGGTCAAACTAAAGGGCGAGCAGGAGCAGAATTTGCCACCTCCAGCCAGCTATTCAGCAACATATCCGTAGAAATATCAACAAACAGGTCCAAAGATTTCAGCCAACATACCACCCTCACTGTTACTACTTCAATAAGGTATTCTTCTTTCAATTTCAGAGAAAATTCTGGTGTTCCTTTCCTCCCAAAGAGTCCAACAAACAGCAGCCCTCACACATCTCCACATTATCCTTTCCCTTTTGTTTGGCCAACCAAAGAATGAGGGGCTAAACAAACTTTGAATGTTTGGCGGTGGGGTCCACCTGCAACCAAAAGTGGAAAGAAACCATTCCCAAAGATCAGTAGCAAAGGGGCAAGAAACTAATAAGTGGTAGGAGCTTGCACCATTAGCCTTGCAAAGAATGCACCAATTTGGAGACAAGCACCAAAAAGGCCTTTTTCTTTGGAGTACGTCACATGTATTACAACTTCCGAGGAAGGCTTCCCAACAAAAGGCTCCAATCCTTGGAGAAATTGGCTCACCCCAAACATCCTTAACTGGAAAGTTTTGTGCAAATGGACTGGATGAAGGCAGTAGGGACTTGAAGAAAGAGGCAGAAGAGAAGGTTCTAGAGGGAGTTAGGGTCCACAGTCTCTTATCCCTCTCAAAGGGATCCAACACCACCCGGTCTAAGATCTGAACCAGACTCATGGCATTTTCAACCTCTACATCCCTTAAGCCTCTTCTAAGCCCCAGATCCCAATCAAACCCAAAATTAGACTGAGAACTAGAAAACTGGACACAACCTTGCCCTTAAATCGGGAGAGTGAAAACTAGGAAGGGAATTGGTCTTTCGAAGGTATCTCACCCACCCAAATGTGCTCCCAAAACTTTTCCTAATTCCCAGAGCAGAGGTCATACCTGATGTGCTGCAAAAATGAAGGAAGAATGGCATGTATAGATTTCCAAGGAGAGGCACAAAGTCCCAATGTCCCAGCCATCATCTACCTGACCGTGAATACTTAAAATTACCCTTGTCCACAGTTTATCCCTCTCACCTCCCAACCTCCACAACCATTTCCCCAACAAGGCTTCATTTTTCCACCGAATGTTACCTAAACCTAACCCTCCGTCAGCCTCCTAGAGACTAGTTCCCAATTCACCCTGTGATCCTTCCTCTCCTCCCCTGGTTCCCACAAGAAGTCTCTCATTAACTTCTCCAAACTCCTACTTATCTTCACTGGGATCCTAAAAACCAATAAGTAATACACAGGCAAACTAGCTAGTGTAGACTTGATCAAAGTAATTCTACCACCCAGAGATAAATAGTTCTTCTTCCAAGAGGCTAGCTTCTTGGCAAATCTATCAATTACAGGGCTCCAAAAGCTCTCTTTCCTCGGGTTATCCCCTAAGGGCATCCCTAAATAGTTTAGCGGCCATTGAGACACCGTGCAACCCAAAGCTTTAGCCCTCTCCAATATAGCTCTTTCTTCCATATTGATCCCCACCACACAACTCTTATCGAAGTTCACCTTCATATTTGACATTTGTTCAGACACTTGAATCACCAACTTCAAGTTTTTGGCCCATCTCACATCCTCCCCCTCACAAAATAGAATTGTATCATCAACAAACTGTAAGTGGGTGATAGGAATGTTGTCTTTTCCAACTCTCCATCCCCTCACAAGACTTCTTGAATCTACTTTCTCAATTAGCCTCCCCAACACTTCAGCGACCAAGGTGAAAAGAAATGGAGAGAGGGGGTCCCCTTGTCTAATTCCCCTAATAGCAGGGAAGTGATCCACTACCTTTCCATTTACTAGGATGGAGTAATGACAAGTCTCTATACAACCTAGGATCCATTTACACCATTTCTCCCCAAAACCAAAGACATCCAACACTTGCATAAAAAAAGACCAACTAAACATATCGTAAGCCTTCTCTAAATCCAACTTGCACACAATCCCTTTCCTCCTTGTTCTCCGCATATCCTCCACACACTCATTGGCAATTAGAATTTGATCTACAATATGCCTATTTCCAACAAAAGCCCCTTGATTCTATGAGATTAGCTCCGGAAGCACCTCTCTAATTCTTCTAGACAAGACCTTCACAATGATTTTATACAAGCTATTAACCAAACTGATGGGTCTAAAGTCTCTTGGATGACTTGCTCCCACTTTCTTTGGGACCAAAGCAATAAAAGTTGAGTTCAGCCCCGGATTTATTACTCCCCTCTAGGAAAATTCAAAAAATACTTTTAAGGATATCCTCCTTTAATATCTCCCAACAGTCTTGGTAAAAAGCCATGGTAAAGCCATCTGGTCTTGGTGCTTTGGCTTGAAGAAATTTCTTTATTCCCCTTATTGCCTCTAACTCAAAATTTCTTTCAAGCCACATCTTCTCCTCGGACAATTTTGGCCAATCTAACCCTTCCACCCAAATTCTCTGGTTTAAAGGCCTTCTAAATAAGGACTTAAAATGCTCCACAAAGGCCCTAGCAATCTCATCCTGTTGAGATATTGACACCCCATCTATCTCCAATTTAGAAATCAAATTTCTCCTTCTACCATTGGCCATTGCATGAAAAAATTTGGTGTTTCTATCACCTTCTTTCACCCACTTATGTCTAGACTTTTGTCTCCAGCTGACTTCCTCTTTGAATAGGATGTCTTCTCGTTGCTTCCTAAGCTTCCATCTTTCTTGTTTGTCTCTCACTTCAAAATTGCCTCCCCTTTCTTTGGCATCTAACTCCTCAATCTGATTGATCACTTCATGTTTTCTCTCCTCAATCCTTCCAAACTGTAGAATATTCCACTCCTTAATCTTCCTTTTTAACTCCTTCAAATTCCAATGAAATTTCATCCCCTCCCAAATAGCACTTGGGTTAGTGTCATTCCACCAATTTTCCACCAACTCAATAAACCCAGGGTGAGATAGCCACATGTTCTCAAATCTGAAAGGAGTGGGCCCTCTAGTACCGAGATCCTCTCTCATTAAGGTAATAGGCCAATGATCTGATGTCACCCTAGGCAATGCTCTAGAAATAATAGTCCCCCAATGCTCCTCCCAATCTGTTGTGAATAAAAATATATCTAACTTAGAGCATATAGGGTTCTCTTGGAGATTGGACCAAGTAAATAGACCATGTAGTGGAGGAACCTCTTTCAACTCAAAACTGTTTATGAAGCTGCTAAACCTTCTCATGCTAGTGCTACCACCTCTCCTTACCCTATTAGTCTCCTTTGTGAATCTAATGACATTGAAATCTCCTCCTAAACACCAAAGGCCTTCCCAAAGTCCTCTAATGTCTCCTAATTCCTCCCAAAGTTCACTTCTTTCTCCATAACCAATTGGACCATACACATTAGTTGATACCCACTCAAATCCATCTACCCTGTGTCTTAACTTGATAGAAACAGTAAACTTCCCAATCAGCTTCTCCACTCCCTCAAAAACCTCTTCTTTCCACATTGTCACTAAACTTCTTGACCTTCCCCATGAAGGACAAAAAGCCCAATTGATGCCCCTTACTTTCCACACCGATCTAGCCCATCTTCTATCAAACTCCATCAGCTTAGACTCCTGAATTAGCACCAAATCTAGATCCTCTCTTCTTATTACTTCTTTTATTAAAGGCCTTTTCCTAGCCCCCCTAACCCCCTAACTTTCCAACTAAGAATCTTCATCACCACTTCCTAAAAAAAACCCTTACCAGTCCCTCTTCTTCTGCCCTTTCTCTCACTGAACTCCTTATCTTCTACATCTCGCCTTAGCCTTTCTGATTCACTCAACTTCCTCTTCCTTTGTT